CGGGAATGGGCCGCATGGCAGGGGGGGAGGCCGGGAATACCGAAACGTGCTGCGGCGGGGAGGGGGATTAGGCCGGCTCCCAAGGGCGAGCTTTAATTAAAGGTACCACCAGGGCACAGAGCACGGCAGTTCTTAGCATCCTCAGTTCTGGTCTAAAAGCTGCCCCTGTTTAACTTTATCCCCAGGCTTTTTCAGCAACCACCTTCCCTCTGGCAGTACTACTACATCCATTTTTTTTTAAAGGACCAGACGCTGTCTTGTTAAGAATTAGATTTGGGGTATTTTTTTTTGGTAAGTGAGTATTAGACAGCATTTCTTACAGCATTACATAACATCTGAAAGGGCAGAATAAACACGTATGTAATGGCCAGCTCCACCAGATCTATTTTACCTGCTACATATATAAATACATATATTTGCCATCGATTTCTGCATAGGTGAGGACATAGTTGCAGCTTTATGCAACGCTCAGTGCAAAGGACTTTATTTATCGGTGGGATTTTTGCCATTAACTTGGAAGCCATCACGACAGGGGAAACCCAGCGGTCTGTAAAAAACATAATGCTCAATCACCAGAAACCAGCTCCAAGTACCAGAAATGAGAAATTTTAGCTGGCTAGGTCCTGGGCTTCGTGTTTTGGTACTTAAATTTGATGGGGGACTTTGTACGAGTCAGACAGCAAAAATCATGCCCATCCTTTGCTCCTGAGGAATGCAAAAGCGTTAGACAGTTCTCAAGTGAAACAGCTTGACGTAAGCATAGTGGATTTGGCATTTACTTCTTGGCTATCACTTTCATAACATAATACACCCAAGTTTTGGCCTAATTTCTGCAAAAAGTGGGCATGCTGTGGGTACAATAACTGTTGTCACATGTGTTTTTTCGTTTGAACTGATGATGTTAGCAAAAATCAAAATAACCCTTCCCCTCCCCACCCTCCCCACCACCAGCTTCTATGAACAGTTCTTCAAATTAACTGTAATCAATGCTCATTCTAGCTGAAATCCAGCACTGCCTGGTTAATGCTGGCGATGTGGGATGCGGAGTGTTTGAATGCTTTGAAAACAATTCTTGCGAGATCCGAGGCTTACACGAGATCTGCATGACATTCCTGCACAACGCTGGAAAATTCGATGCCCAGGTAACGCAGGGAAATGTCCTACCTGTCTGCTTGCTTCCAATATACACGTGGCATGTACTTGAGTTCTTTAACACATCTTTGGCAAAAAAAGTTAACTGTTACGGAGCAAATCTACTTTTGCACGTGACCAGCTTCAACAGGAATCTTCCCGAGGGCCCAGACTCAGACCCAAGAACGGGAACAGCAGCGGACAGGCGCTCTGCAGCCACAGCTCCCTGCGATCGCTTCTCCCTCCTGTACCCAGGATGACTAAATCAGGACGCTAACGTAGCTGAACATGGTTTTCAGAAACAGTAAGCGGCTTAAGCTTTTACACCGTGTTTGTTCAAAGCCGACTCTGAAATGCAGCTTGGGCACCCAGTTCACCTAGACGTATCGAAATATTTCCCGATGTGCAGTTAGTAAAGCAGGTCCTCAAGACTTGCACACGACCAGTACAGGCAACCTCCTAAAGCTGCTGTAGTCAAATAAGTCTTTGGATCAAGCACTGACGTTAAAATACATTACTGACATGGTATGCGGTATTAAGTTTGTCTCCTTCATTTTCTCCCCAGACCATTTTTGCATCATTGAGACATCCTGTTATTATGTCTTGTAAACCTCCTCTCCCGTTTCAGCATGGAGGGAAGAGAACATGACGACGGGCCAGCAGCATTTGGCTTGACCAGGCAGTTCACAGTATAACTTGACCAAAAGCACCAGCCTCATGGCACTGTTAAAAGCACGGTGTAAAGCAGAGCTGTCCTGAGGATTCAGCCTGTTCCGTGAGGGATGGTGGGACCACCCAGTAGGACGCACTTTTGAAGTGCTGGAGTCTGAGGCTCAAATTCTCAAGGACGTACAAAGGGTCTGGCGAGCCATTAAAATGGGAACCGCTTCTTCTGCGGGTATCTGAAAACCTTCAGCTTAATTTCCAAGTGGCTCCCAGAAAACGTTCCTTTATTTTTGCACAATATTCTGTCACTGAACAAGGTCGAGCAAAGAAGCAGGCCCTGCTGGGAGGGGAGGGAAGCGTGCCCCCGAGGCTGAGCGTAGCCACTGCCGCCTGTCCCCCAGGGTCCCCAGCTATTGCCAGTCGCATCCAGCCCATTCCGGGTCCAGGCTGTCTCCGTTGCAGTGCAGAAGTACTAAACCCCTGGAGCTTTATTTAATGCAGAGGTGACTTCAACCTCTGCTAGGACATGGCTTTTCATGGCTCATCTCTGCTATCTACAGTTATCTCAGGCTGCATTAAATGACAAGACTAACACTGGCCATTTTCTGTTCTCTGCTTTCTGCTCTCCTTCTTTCCCTCTGAAACCTGAGAATTGATGGCCGGTTTGATTCGCATAGGAATTTTCTTTTTTTTATCCTTATTTGCCTAATGTGCTGTGCACGTTTGTTACTGAAGGGAAGGGCAAGCCAGTGCCTTTGGTAGAGGGAACAGAAGGGGATGATGACGGAAGCAGTTCTTTGATCAGCAAGAAACATTTCTGGCTTGAAACAATTTGGGGACAAAATCTGCTTGCAGGTCTGGGTGAATCTTAGTGAATGTCAGTGGAGCTGTGCCAGCGTACTCTTTGGATAAAGGTTAATAAGAATGTGGTCTTCATGAAGCGCTTGTGTGAAATAACCTGAAGCTCACGAAGAGACGGAGGCAGCGCAGGAAGCTTCCCCGCACCGATGGCTCGGCAAAGCAAAGGGCGCCTGAGCAGAGCTGTCAGACCGCGCCGCACACACGGTGTACGGCAGCTGTAGTACCGGGTGGCGAAGGGAGACGGGGAAGGGGTGGTTTTGGTGCCCGCTAAGCGACTGAACGAAGGAGTCGCAAACAGGGGTTAAAGAGATGCTGCTAAAGCAGCTTTCCTGCAACTTACTTTTTTTAGTTTCTTGATTTTTTTAATCTCACTCAGAATTTCTGGCAGCAGACAGGCATCAAGACACTGTAGGATTATTATTAGTGCTGATTTGAGTCCCTCTCTGAGGAAGTGGTAGCAGAGAGAGTGCTGACGGATGGGGAACGGGGCAGGTGCCTATAGACAGTGCATCCATGTCTGTGAGTTTGCAAACTAATTTTAAAATTAAAAAAGCCTAATTTGCAGTTGCTGAATGGGTATCTGCATGTGGTCCTGGGGACCTCAGCCCTCTCCGTGTGTGAACCTGCTGTGCTGACACCCCAGAAGCGAACAAAGCCAGTAACTCAGGCATTCAGTTATTTCAGGGTGCTTACTTTTGCCCTTCCCTTGCTGGGCATTCGGCTGTTGGGGTAGAGGAAACCTCAATGCCAGTGGGAAGCCCTGTGAGTTCAGCTGCCCTGGAATAGCAAGGCCAGGTAACTTGGCGTGAGCTTTAAGGGCAGAGAAACCAAGAGAAGAGGGGGACAAGCCATGAAGTGGTACCCTTAGCAATCTAATAACCCTTGACATTGCCCTGCAGAGGAGCAGCTAGCTGGGCATAAATCAGCTGCTGTGCTTAATGGACAAAAATACAGACCTACTCCATTTCTTTTCTTCTCAGGGAAAATCCTTCATTAAAGACGCTCTGAAGTGTAAGGCTCATGCCTTGAGGCATAAATTCAGCTGCATCAGCCGTAAGTGCCCTGCCATTAAAGAGATGGTGTTCCAGTTACAGCGGGAGTGCTACCTGAAGCATGACCTCTGCTCCGCTGCCAAGGAGAACGTCCAGGTCATTGTGGAGATGATTCACTTCAAAGACCTGCTGCAGCATGAGTAAGTGCCTCCGCGCTGGTGCAGTCAGAGGCGTGGGAGCTCCTTCCAGGAGCACGATGGTGCCAGCGGGCTGTGCATCTGCCCGAGAGCTGTTTCACCTCCTCCTGGCCTTAAGCACGTCTTGTTTTCCCATGTACCAGACCAAGGTAATGCTTTCTTCGCAGGGGCCCTCGAAGAGTAGGTTATTTACGAAGGGCTAGATGTGGCTGTGGAAGGGAGTGAAACGGGTTGAAGTTGGGTCCGGCTGTCTCTGTGGTCCTTTAGCAAATACAGCGTCAGTGTCTGCTGTTTCCAGAGGCACCTCACAATGTCTCCGTGCTTTCTGAGCTCAAAGGCACCGTTCCGGACCCCAGTATCTTGTTAAAGATGACAGCTAGAGGAGAACGGGGAAGAAGGTCTATGCAAAGTTGTCAGTAAGATGATAATTTCTTCTTTAAATACGTACTTTCAAATGTCTTGTAGTTAATTGTCCCTGAAAGAGCTGCAGTCCCCCAGGTAATCTCCCATTCATCTTATTCCTTATTAATCTCAGATGCTTTTTAATAAAACATGGAGGTGTACAAAGTGTAGGCACAAGTCAGATTTTGAGGAGTTCATCCCTCTGACGGGGAACACAGCTGCCCTCCGAGGAATGGCAGGCGTGAATCCTATTTGGAGTTGATCAAAGCTGCTACATGACAGCAACAAAGCAGGCACAAGCTGTTTGTACCAACTCTTTGTGCACAGATGCAAAAATCGGAGCCTGTTTTTCTTGCAGGTGAACATCTCGCTCCCAAACAAGAAGGCTGAGCCGCAGCCTGGCAGCCGGCTTACCTTAGAGCATCTTCCTGCCACGCCTCTGTGCCTCCTTGTCCCTAGCGGATATTAGCACAGAAACCCCAAATCCCAGTCAGCATGACAGATGCTTTTTTTTTTTTTACAGAATCATTTCTTCTGGACTTTTAGCCTTGCGTTTTCATTGGTCTCCAAAGGAGCTATGCCCCAGTTCCCTCACTTTCTGTTGAAAACCACCCCCCTAATGCTTAAGCTGCAGTTGCAGAGAGATGCTTTGATGCCAGTTTGCTCTGAAATGCAGAATGGTTTGCTGTGGTTTGCACGAGCTGAACACAGTGGCCTGAAAGCAAGGCCCTTTCCATGGACATTCCTGAGGCCGGGATCAAAGGCATGGCTGGTGGCCATTTTCAGCATCTCACGGAGTCGGAGCTTAGCTTTCCTATGCGGGACTCCCCAGATAGAAGGCAGCCAGCCTCCTCCCTTCCCCTAAATTTAGCGACCATCTCTGAAGCTTTTGAACTCAGGAACTTGTTCAAGATCAATAGGCAAGTGTGGCAGAGCTGGAAATAAAATCACGTCTGCTGACTTGCAGCCTTGTGCTCAGTTCAGGTACTATGGGCAGGCCAGCTGAAACGCAGAAAGTAAAACAGCGAAGGAGAAACGGGCCAGTATTAATCCGCAGGGCTCTGGCAGACTCTGAATACCTGAAATATTTGGCAGCTGAGCCACTTTTTAGTCATAGCGGCAGCCTTTTTCTTCCGAAGATTTTTGCAAAGGTTATGCCCAATTTCAACAACTGATTTATCTTTTTTTTTTTTTTGCCTCCTTCTGCTGGATCACTTTGTATGCGATGGGCTCGGTTCTCTCTCATCTCCTATTTTACATTTAAAACAAAAACTAAGAGCGGGGAAGCAAGTGGCAGCTCTCAGACTTGTTCTCTGACTATCTTATTCTGCCCGTGTTCTCCCGAGGAGTGCTGAGGAACGCGGCCGGGCGGTGAAGCCTCCTGAGTCAGCTGCGGTGGGGTGGGGGTCAGCCCGTTTGCTATGGTGGAAGTGGTGACAGGCCCTGGCAGATCCGTCGCTGCTGCATTCCAAGGAACTTTTTTTAAATGGCAGAAACAATCCAAACATGGGAAATATTTTGAGATAGGGGAATAGGTGGCTCTCCAAGATTAGTCATTCGAAATGAGTTTCAGCAGTTGGGCAAAGTAAAATCAGGGTAGTGTCAGACGCTGATTGCAGTCTCTTGGTTTTCCTCGTCTCTTCTGACTTAGTTCATGGGAAGAGATTTAGACTTGTCCGCAGCCATCGGAGCTGGTGGACGGGATGCCTACAACCACGGCTGCGGACCCCAGGCACCTCTCCACTTGCACTGTGGAGGGTTCCTACCGCGGAAGACTTCTCATCACGTCCTTCTGGGCCTGCTAGCCGCTGAGCGGTTGTGTCAATAGACAACATCAATATTGACCCACAAAACTTGTGACCGCAACTATTGTAAAGTCGCTGCACCGGGTGAGCCGTGGCTGAGGAGGCCGAAAGCGCCTGCGCTCGGGCTGCCTTGTGCTGTGGGGGCACGGAGGGATGGGTGGGAAGCAGAAACGGTATTGGGCCAGGGCTCGCTTGGAGTCCGTGTTTGGCTGGGAAAAGGTATATACAGAAAGCTGTACTCGACTCTGTAAGGAAATTAAGAAAAAAAAACTTGGTGTGGGAAGAAATAGTGCCACCAGAGTGGATTTCCATGTGTCTGAGCTCTGTGCAGTCAGATCCTCAGTCCGGATGGGATCTTGCTTGTGGTGGAGATCACCTGCTGCTTCAGGGAAGGCTAAAGATGATGAGAAAAGCCAGAGAAGCTCTAGCTGAGTACCTGTTGCTCGTCGCAGAGGTGAGGAAGAGCCTCCCTCTGGCAGAGGAGTGACCGGTGCGGGCTCTGGACCAGCCTGGAGACAGCAAGCTGTCTGATGAAGTTGCTGGCTCCGGACACGAGCGGGTTTCCTTTATCGTGTATCCTAACAGCGATGAAGGGGCATGGAAAGGGAGAGAGGCAGGGGTGAGAGAGCGGGTCTTCCACTTGACAGCCCCATTTGCCAAGCGCGTAGACCTCATGTATTCCTCTGGTGGACATGACGGTTCCCCCAGAGCATCTCCGGTGGGGCAGCAACCAAGGCAGATCCAGCCCTTGAATGAAGCTTCGTTTGACAGGATGCCATCATGCACGTTTCGGACAGCGATATGGCCAATTATAATATAACGTATTGCGTAATAAACACGTGTCGCAGAATCGCTCTGCAAGGCTGCCGTGGCAGCGGGTAGCAGGGGGCTCCCGCTCCTGAGCTGTGCTGTGCACAGGGGAGGGTAAGGCAGAGAGGCCGTACGCTTGCTGACTGAGAGAGAACCCTTATATATTTTTTTTCTCTC